GAAAATGGCGCCAAAACTATCATTTTATGCTCCTTCACAAGATGATCCAAAAGCAACTTTTGCTGTTTGAAGAACATGCTCAACGACTGTTTACTAATAAAACTGTAAGCAAAGGAAGCAAAGCCGCATGTATTGAAAGGACAGCAGCCACTTTTAATTGCATTTGTAAAAAAATCACTTATTACATTCTAGCGGAGTTAACAGTTGTAAGAAGGCTCCTATAATTCTACAACTGTAATTTACAATTGTGCTCTGACTCGAGATACACGTGTAAATTACGGTGTGGAATATTGCGTTATTAAATACTTGTATTTCCAAGTCGGAGTTTACCCGCGTAAATTACACGTGTAAAAGCTACAAGTGTATTTTCTTTATTAATCAAAATAGAGGGCAAAATTACTGAATGCTGCTTGGTCAACGAAAAGGGTATTTTTTCTGAATTTTGCTTGAGAAGAGGGCAAAATTACTAGCTCATGATTGGTACTCACGTTCCCTAGCAACAGCTTATGCTATCGAAAAGTTGTTGCAGCTGAAGATTTTCTTTAACAATGGCGTCTCGTTTTGAGATAGTTGACGAGCAATACATCGAAGAATTAAAAGACAAGAGTGAAAACGAAAACAAGGGGAAAAGCACGGAGTACTGGAAGAACGTTTTTAAAAAGTGGGCGAATAAAAGAAACTTCCAAGCAAATTGAGAAGAGTACGAGAGCGATGTCCTCGACCGAACACTGGCGCAGTTTTATGCTGAGTTACGAAAAGAAAACGGGGATGAATATGAGCCCGACTGCATGAAAGTAATGCAGGCATCACTGGAGAGATATCTAAAATCAAAAGCCTATCCAAAGTCCTGGTATCTTTGTGCAAAAATTAAATTTCATTCAGCTCATTCGAGCGTTTGTGGCCATTGATTCTCTGTCAACTTTGAATGGCTTCCTATGACTGATTACTGAAGAGCGCATTCAGAAATTCAGTAATTTTCACCTCAATTTTATTAACAAGTAATCGCATGGGTCCTCGTAAAGTTAACGATTAATATCACTTTTTCGCTATTGCATAAATAGCGCTATCTACTGCGAGGATCGTGCATCATACGTATCTAATACCGCAGTTCAAAATATATGAACTTCATATATTCATTGTATCTCAAATATCACATGTGTTTTCAGAAGTTGCTGAAATTGCGCGAGTCGCTTCGCCCTATGCGATTACCTATACTAAACTAACCCCAGATCTCCGAAATACCGCTTGAGCTGTATGAAAAATAAGATCAGCTTTCGACATTTCTATCATAACTTGGCTAACTGAAAAAGGATATCTTCCTTACATAGACCTGTTGGCATTCGTTGGGTTGGGAAAATGATGTTGCCAGTAAAAAAAAATCAGGAGCTATTCTACATTTAACTGTTTTAGTTATGGTAGAAACATGTTACCAACTATTCTGATGCCGACAACAACTGAAATTAAATCTTCAGTCGAAAACGCGACAAAGCGCAGCTGTGTACCATGCGGGAGCTCTTCATATTGCTTTTGTTTGTTATCTTTTTGCATAACTGTTTGTCAAAATATTTCATACTTTTCTACTTTTCTTAAAATTTCTACCATCACTTGCAAAATAAATTACAAATTTTAATTTTTAAATAAAGTTTTTGTTTTTAATCTGCATCACTTATTTTATACAACTTTACTGAAAAGGATTTTTTTTTATTGTTTTTTTCGTTCAAGAATTGCCATCTAACTAATATCCCTCCCTAGGTCGGTATTTTATCATTGCCACATAATTCATAATATTTAATATACTTCCTCAAAATATCGAACTAGTAAGGTGCTTCACTATTATTCATCGACATGTTCTTTGTGTCTCGGCATACATATTGAAATGTTCATTTCGGCTATTTCTCTATGCGTCGTCTTTTTAGAAGAGATTCTTTTGAATTGGGTAAATCCTGTTCGTCGTTGTCGTCGCCATATTTCAACAGAGGCACACTACAATATTTCTTTGGAACTTACAAACTGGTTGAATATCACTCTTAAACGACCACTAATAAGGTTACTTCAAAAAGAATTAATACGTTTTTCAAAACGGTATTTTTCGTTTTAAATATGGTCCTAAAATGCTACTTATAGCCCTTAAACTATTAATGACGGAATGTTTCTTTACTTGTACGAAATTTTAACGTTAATAACTGATGACCACGAGCTAAACCCCCAAGGATCACCATAAGGGGCGTTTCTTCTTCGCTCAATCTATTTGAAGCAGCCAAATAAAATTTCCTACATTATCTAAATTCAGCATGACGTGGTTTCAAACTGATAATAACTTTACCGAGTAAATTTTCAGACAACTGAAGTTTTGCTCCTGATTTTGATCATTTCCGTTCGTCGTTGCAATGGTATTTCAGTAAAAAATTTCAAAATTCAGGTTGAAACGTGCAAAAACGTCACTAAAAACCCAGTATCTGCCTGCATTCTGACATTTACCAGAAAGATCCAATTAATTAAAAGAGATAGCGTGATGTTTTCTTTGTTTTCTCATGAAATCAATAATAGGTTTAACCACAGACTGTAATCTCACAAACACGAATATAACCCTTCTTTTCCCTTTGAACGTGATGGATACTTTTATAAACGGAGTCATTCGAGATATAACACTAAACTTTGAAACCATGTTTTAACTTCGCTGAAGATTCAAGAGGAAAACTGCTCAACGGACGTTTAATAGGCGGATTCATGCTGACGTCATTGTTTACATTTTTGCTCATTTGCATACGGCTTTGCGTAAAGAAGGAAGCATGTTAGATACAAATTGACTTCAGGCAGCTAAAGAGCTAGAAAATCTTAGTACATGGTGAAATTTTTAGCCCTTTGGGTGTATTATTCAAGGAGAAATAGTCCATCAATAACTGCAAAATTTCTGGGTGGCAAAAGCTCTAATGAGCTCATACATTCTATGTAAAATTTTGAGTTTTTAAACCCTTGTTGCACAAAAAGTATTCAATGCATCAGACTCGTATTCATTGGCCGAGTTAATCGTACTTTGACCTTTCGATATTCAGAACTGATTTATTTTTAGCTCCATCAGAAACTGAATTGCTTATGCTAATGAGGCAAATATTGTAAACAAGGATTCCCCTATAAGCGAATGGAACAGGACCCAGAGAATTCTTTTCTATTGAAATGTGAGGAATAAAGTTTATGTTTGCTTTGCAACTAGAAACCCAGGAAAAAAGTTATTTAAATGTTAACTGAGTGATCTGACCGATCTGATGGGCTGGACAATTTTAATAAAGACAACGAACTTTTCCACTTAGACTAGGTTTACACTAGAGGAAATTGTTCCGGATTCGTGATGAATCCGAAACGTTTTAGTACCGGATTGATTTTGACGTTTACACGAAAGTGGACGAATCCGAAATAAAAACTCCCCGGTTTGGTCGTGTCTCCGGAGATTTTGAATACGGAATTTACGGTGGGAACTTTGAATCCGATAGCTTTTGAATCCGGAAAGTTTTGTCGTGTAATCGCTTTTTTTTCTCGCATTCGGATATTATTTCCGCCTGCAATCTTTTGAGTTTGCATTGAAACCAAAATGTAGGAGCTGGTGCTAACATTGCTGGCTGTCTTCGGTTGCCTAATCTTGTTGCAGTTTCAGGCGATAAATTTTATCATGTGTACCGCAGTATTTTTGAGGAAACGCAAATTATTATTACAAGGAAGTTTAACGTCAGCCACACTTAATCGCCGACGACGTAGATGGCAGGATAGAAGACCGAGACGGTTTTGGGTTAGGCCAGGTCGAGCAAGTGCCTGGTGGGACAATATGATGGGAAATGTCACGGTAGCTAGCGAGCGGAGAGAAAATTTTAGAATGTCCCATCCTACCTCTATGGAACTTTGTGAAGATCTTAGACCCCTACTTGAGAGAAAATCAGAAAAAAACAAAAAACAAACAAAAAACCCGGAGTTGTCGTTGTGTGTAAACGGTCAGGAATCCGAATATCCTTTCAATGTAAACGCCTACGAATCCGAATACTCCAAAATTGATGAATCCGGAAAACTCTCCGCTAGTGTAAACCTAGTCTAAGTTCAACTTTATTTCAGAAAAATTACGTTAATATGCCGGTTAGGTCATTGAAAAGCTGAGATATTCATAAAATACCTCTATTATTCTACTAGTCTTTAATTTCAAAAACCTCTAATGAAACTTAAAGCTTAGCTTTTAGTACTGAAAAGCAGGATCTAACCCTGATAGATTTCGTTTCGCCGCCCACCTGTTTGGAAATTGAAAATGTCGGTGTTATTATTTTTGAATACAATAATTTTTTGAAAATTACACCAAAACCATTACACTACTTCATGGGTATTTGCAAAATTGTTCTGTCAATTGTACAATATTTTCTTCAAAGAACATACATTTTTATTATGTTGCACCAGTGTAGCCTTAGGATGTATTTCGTTGATTTACCTTTTATACTTTTGTATTTTCTTGAATTTTCTATCATCATTAATAAAATTCATAAATAATAGAGCGAAACGTTTTGTAAACAAAAACTATTTGAATAAAATTTGTAATGTGCACCATTTGCAAATTTGGTTAACACGTTCACCTGAACGATATGTTTTGTGTGTGTACGTAAAAGGTAACATACTCCCTTACCGTATTTTAATATTACCACAAAATTCAAATTATTTATTCTTAAGATTTGAATTTGGTTCCTCAAAATACCCAGACATATAAAGGATGAAACTATTTTTATAAGCTTTATCTGAGCGACTTTTCGAACGACATTAAAAGGGACTCTTTTTTAATGTTCCTCGTTGCCATCGCCGTATTTCAGCAGAGGCACCTAACAAAATTTTAAAACTAAAAATAAAGTTTCCTGAAAAGTTATTCTTTTGTTTAAATATTCCCCCAAAGTGCTAGTTACAACCATTGAATCAATAACAGGATGTTTTTCTACTCAAGTTTCTATGTTAACAATTGATGACCAAGAGGTAAAACGCTAAGGATCACTATGAGTGGCAACATTTCTCGCGAAAACATGTATGCAACACTGCTTCTAACTTCCTTAATGATAATTTTAACAAACGGAGAAAGTCGATTGATAACATCAAATTACAAAGCCGTTAACTTTGCCAGAGAAATAAGAGGTCGAAAGCTTAAAGGAAGTGTTATCAAGGAAGTTGAAGTAGATTCAGAGGCTTCTTGTCAACTGCAGTGTGTGGAAGAAAATTCATGTCTGTCGTACAACTTTGGACCCGGTCAAAACAAAATGTTTAAATGTCAACTGAGCGACTCTGATCGGTTTACTGGACTGAGTAATTTCACTGAAGATCCCGAAGTTCTTTATAGAGGCATAAAGGTAATTTACTTCAATTTGCAATTCTTTTACGTTATTCCAAGGAGGTTATCACCTTTGACTTTAGGAATGATGCAAATGTTTTCATACCGCGTTGAGTAATGATAAAGAAATACTATTTTCTAGTAACTATAGAACTTTTCCTACCATCGTCTGATTTTGAAAGGTTAAAAGGTAAAATCTAACTTTTGTTGGGCACGTAAATTTGATGGCTCGGAAGTGAGATGTAATCCAAAACATGCTGCTATCAGAGCACCTGTTTCGATTTGTGAATAAACATGTTAATTCGTTGTTGCCTAAAAACAGAAAACGTTAATCTACGCCTTTGAAGGACATTTTGTAATAATAATGAGTACTGATGACTGACCTCATTTACCTTAATGTTACCTTAGTGTTACCAAAAAATCCTATCAATGAAAAATTATATTTGAATTAAACACGAAGCCGCGATATGAAAGGAGAGGTCCCTTCGGTGCCTGGTAGAGGAACAAAAGGAGCTAATGAGATGTTTACCTCCATCAGCATGGTGGCAATGATGTAACGTGCGAACCACCTACTTCGATTTCAAATTTACCGCCACAAAAATAAAGACAGTTTCCATTGGAGAAAGGAAATACAAATCTCAAGAATTCTTGTATTGTGATGAAAACAGAAAACAATTTTGCGTCCGCTGTTTATTGCTTTGGATTAGCTATAGCTCAAGCTGAATTGACTCTTAGAGTTCTACATCACACGACGGTTGATTGACAACTGGTCCCCAGAGGTAACAAAGGCACGTCTCCTTTTATAGCGCGCCTTCGTGTTTAAAGTGTTTCGGCTTTTTTAGAAGCCTTTCAAAGCATTTCAATAAACCCTCTGTAAATCATCACTTCTGCAATTATCTTTCAATTTCTTGTAACATGAACATACCTCCCATTCGATGGTTTGACCACATGATACGCCCAGATGTTTTTCGAACTATTTTTCCGAGCCACGTGGAGCCAGCAACAAATATGGAGAATGAGCAAAAATGTCCGCTCGTATTGTACGCTAGACTTTCGAATAAGGGATTTATTAATTCACTTTTATTTCAATTTCAGTTTTAGAAAATTGACTTCTAGTTATCGAAATGCATCTTAAGGCAAGTAATTTTGTTTAATGAACAGAGCATTTGTGAGATCAGCAGTTCCTTGTGTCGGAAAAACGAGATCTGTGTTCCCAACTATAAAGACAACACTGCAGAATGTAAATGTCGTTATGCATCTGGATATACTGGAAAACCATGCGGTGAGTGTTCTTAGACTTATTTCACTAGAGAGTTGTATGAATTATTTTATTCAAGAATACCTTTATGCGCAGCTCTTAATAATACCAGTTGATCGCCAATAGATGAAAAAAGCAAGAATAAAGGGCCTCTCAATACAAGATGGGGTTGATTATAATTATTCGCAGTAGATTCGTAAGGGGCCGACCATTTAACTTTTGATGGGGGGAGGGGAGGTGATTTCTGGGCATCAAGAAGTTTTTTTTTCTAGCAATCTGCTGTGCAGGATTTTTTTTTCTGACTTTTTGGTACATTTTTTCTGTTACATTTGGGCTGCATGCAATATTTTTCTTCCAACAAACGCTTGCAGGAATATTTTTCAAAATCACCCACCCCCCTCAAAAGTTAAATGGTCGGCCCCTTACGTCGTTCATAAAAGAGAGGCAAAAAGTTGTGCCCAACTCAGCCTCACGACAAGTTATACTCACCAACCCTTATCCAATAAAGATAATTTACTCTGACTAGTATTTCTTCCTGAAACCCATACCGCAGAAGCACAAAGCTGCCAGCAGCTCCTTAAAGATGGCGTCACATCCAGTGGAGTGTACACGATCAATCCAGATGGAGGCAAACCAATTCAAGTGTTGTGTGACATGACCACGGATGATGGAGGTTGGACCGTTTTTCAGAGACGTTTGGACGGCTCCGTTGACTTCGATCGTGACTGGAAAACTTACAAAGACGGGTTTGGAAATCTGATCGGCGAGTTCTGGCTTGGAAACGACAATCTTCACCGTTTGACAGCCGCTGATGACGTCATGTTGAGAGTTGACTTAGAAGACTTTGAAGGGAACATCACCTACGCTAAGTACGCCACTTTCAATGTCACAGACGAGGCCGAAAATTACACGCTCACGCTTGGAGGATATACTGGCGAGGCCGGCGACTCCTTCACATATCATAGGTACGTAAAACATACAGTTTTTCACGACCTTTTTTACACGTAAAAGTTCGGAATTTGGGAACTATAACAAAAACAAATGACCTTCTACAAGCCAATAATTATAAAGAACGTCCCTCCTTAAAAGATTGATTAACATAAAATGCGAACATCCTGAAAAAAGTCAAATAACACTCAAAAGCAAATCTGAAATCTTGGTATTTGTCTTGCTTCTCTTTTTACACGTTTCTATGAAACTTTTTATTTGTAATTAAAGTCATTTGATGTTTTTCATTTGTAAATTTCCTTTATAGTGACAACCAGTTTTCCACCAAAGATCGAGATAATGACCAGTCACCATTCTTTCACTGCGCACGGGATAATCCGGGAGGAGGCTGGTGGTTTGATAACCCTCGGTGTTTTGAATGCAATCTTAACGGTTTGTATAACGTTACCAACAGCCTAACAGGGGTTAACTGGAGGGCCTTCCGAGGCTTTTACTATTCACTCAAACGTTCTGAAATGAAAATCAAGCCCAAGGATCAATGATGTGTACATATGTGTGCTACCATTATCTTATTCATGATTTACTAAAAGCTTCTGCAAGTTCACTTACAATACAAACTTTATTGACATTCCAATAAATGGCTTTTCAATGCCAATTTACAAAAAATGAAAAATTCACAGATATATATATATAAACGATCACCTTTCAATCAACTTCCAACTTTAACTTTCGATTTTATCATTCATCAGTAAATTTCTGTATCCAGATAAACTTTGACCTTCTTTTTACAATAGATTTTAAAGAAGTGTCTAAAGTCTAAAGTCTCAAAGGCTTTAGTTTAAGACTGTAACTTCAACGGGAAAAATCAAAATAACACAGCTTTTATCCATTATTCCTAGAGTTGATCGAGCTTAGCCTAACCATTGACAATGATTCTGAAAAATGAAAGCTGCAACCAACATCTGCACGTATGCACGTTTCATTAGTGGCAGGTATAAATACAAGAGAACCTAAAAATAAAAACAAGCAAACAATTTCAGGCGTTGTAAAACCTGGAGTAACCAGCTCGAGATTACTGTTAATCACGCATAAAATTTGTTGAGAAAGTGTCGCGAGTTTTAAGGACCAATCATAGGGAATAGTGAAGCAAACCAACGTAACCCTTGATCTCTTTTGATACTCAATTGAACATCGCTCTAATTAAACTTTTCGATTTACTCCCTTTATTTGTCTCTTCCACTAACTCTGTTTCATGCAATAGACAACAGGATTAACGTGATTCCTCAGAAAAAATTTTTTCAAACTTTCCAACGTCTATTTCGAAATATACATATAAAAAGACAGCTCACTGTGCTTGTTTAAGAGACGACAGGCCTTTAAGGTTAAAATTTAATTTGCATCATCGAGTAAGAGGCTTCGTGAACCCTATTCGCTATATCTTTTTTCCCTGGGATAAATTTTTTTTTAATATCTCCGAATTAAAGAGGACTATTTGTACACCAAAATTACACAATAGAAACTATAGGTCACCTTGCTCGTTCAAGATGCAATAACTAGCTTGCTTCTCAACCTTGTCCATTTCACGCTCACCACCGCTTTGATTAAATTGAATTAGCATAAGAAAAGCATTAGCCTAAGTATATTTTGCTATTAGCCAATAGAAACATCACACTACACGGGCATGTATGACCACCATTTTGATATGTTTTGTTCCTGGTTTAACACTGATTTCCATGTAACTTCTCCCTTAAAAATACAATAAACAACGTGAAAATGAAATAAAGGATGTCAGTTTCGTTTCATTTACTTTCAATTTAAATCATTAAACTTCCTGGTGCTCTTGATACAAGTAAATCACGCCGCTATTTTAAATATTCTCATTAAACCTGTTTTGTTTCGCCCTCTCCCGTTCGCTCAGCCAATGTATTCACTCTGACGAATAGCTAACACTCGAAACGTCAGATTTACTGACTCTTTAAAGTGCTTGGCCATTTTAAATTGTCAATTCAGCGTATAAAACCAATTTATCTGATTATAACCTTGCCAAGTAAAGCTATGGGAATTGAGAAAATTTTTCTGATTTGAGAATTTCTGTTCGTCGTTGCAATTGTAATGAAAATTTGCAAAATTTATGTTAAATCTCGTAAAGATTCTCTGAAAACCCAGTTATTGGTTAAAAATTGACATTGATCAGAATGAACCATTTTTAAAACATTCGCTGTAGGTTGATCACATTTCCATTCCTCTT